GAGGAATATTGTAGACTAAGAAATTCTCAAGAACCATCCCCACTCCCAGAGAAATTTTATTATGATTAGTCTCACAGCTTTCCGTTTTCATATCTTCTGGAAGTTACTAAGCTTGTCTGAACTCAAAAGCAGCAGTAGAAAGTATATTTTCTTTTAAAAACAAATTTTGGCAAACTGCAGAAACTTCGCAGAATCTTGTTAAACACCATTTCTGTCAAGAATGAGATTCAAGGAAAAAATAATTTGAAATACTATTGGTTAATGATTTTTTAGGGTTTTATGAACCCTATTAGTATTAAAAATAATCCAAGGATATATTGAAAATTCTAAAACAGATAACAAAGCTTTGTGATTTGTCTGTCTGAGTGCAGTAGGATGGCATTTGAGAGAAAAATATCCAAGGTACATTCTCTAAAATGTCTCTTAAAATGAAGTTTTGGCTATAATTTTTGCCATGGTTCCATCTTCCCTGATGGAAGGATGGTCACACTGCCACTGGCTGCAGTAGCAATGAGGTCGCCAGAGTGGAGTCACTGTCCATTAAAGTTGCCTGGTTACACATTTTAGATTTTAACATTCAGCAGTAGTGCCAGACAAAAACAAAGGGCAAAAGCTATCTCCATACTCTGAAGTGCAGAGGCTCTGTGCTCTCCAGGTGGACTCCTGATTAGTAACTAAGCAACCACATCCTGCATCTCTAACTCACACATGCTGTTCTCACTAGAAGATTTTCTTTGGCATATTTTACGTTGAATCACTTGTAGATCTGCAGATCATATTTAAAATGTGCTTGTTATAAAATTGTTAATGAAATACTTCAGTGAATAATTGTAGGTCTGCAGATCATCGCATTTCTGAACTTCGTAATCCGATTGAAATTTTCAACTGCAAACGTATCTTCTGCAATAAGTCAAGCAAAATTAATTTATGCCCTATATATCTTTTGACCTATATTGATACAGTTTTTTAAATTAACAAGTAGAATGTGAGTGTTATTGTGCCACTGACTATAATATTGTATAATTTTTCTTTCCTTTATCCGCAAGGATCATAACATTTAATTTTAATAAGTAATCAAAACAAAGTCAATAGAAAATTCTGATCTGCCTTTTGGTGACCCAACATTTGAATTAAATGTTTGCCTCCCATGAGTAAATCACACAGAAATTCTCAGACAAGTATTATGCTAGTAAAGCTCGCATGATCCCATATTCATAGAAAATAAATATGAAAGGCTTACAACCACAGTTAAATATAAGCTCCCTTTTGAATGCAAATAAATATTTAGGGTATGTATTCACTCAGCTCTAGTCCTTGCTCATGCAAAACTCCCAACAGTACCAACCAGAGGGCCAGTCCCATGTTACAAATAGCACAGAGTCAAAATAAGAAGTATGCAGTGGTGGAAATACTTCTGTAAGCCATCTGAGGAGCACTTAGCAGGAAGGAATGTATTTGTAAGTGTCAGAAATGATGGAGTGTAGTTCAAAATCAGGATCGCAAATCAGGACCATAAATCAAGGATGTTGATCAGTCCAGAAACCCAAAATCCAACCACCCCAGAGTTCCTTCGTGTTAATGCAAAGCTGTGAGGTCTGAGTATAAATACTCAAGCGCCTCAAAGGGGAATTTTGTATCCAAGGTTTCACAAAGGTTGGTTTTGTAATTTATTCCAATGGAAACAGGGTGTGTCAATTGATATAGCAGACATCTTGTCGTTATAAACCATACCAGTCTACTCTAATTTGCTAAATTGGGAAAAAGAAACACAATTTCATTCTACCAGAGTAATCATTCCCAACCTCTATCAGGCACGTGTTTGCTGTTAGCTTCAGATCCAACACAATCTGTGTGGGCCCACAGTATCTATATGTAATCTAGCTGCATCAACTCGCCCTAGAAAAAGATAATATTTTTTATAAAAATTTTGTCTTGGCTATATATTACACTGCTGCAGCTAGAGCAATTCTACTGTTAGCAACATAAATGAATGTTCTACTTATTTGAACAAAAGCCAAACATAGACAAGTCACAAATGCTTCAGATTCAATTAAGAAAGAGACCATGCAGCAATCATGGAATAAATTAGGTTGTCAGGAATGTCTGGAGGTTGTCTAGTTCACTTCCCTGCTCCAAGCAGGGTCCTGGTGGATCTGAACAACTCTGATGGGTCCTGGTACTTCAGGTTTTGTTGTTCCTACAGTGATTATAGGGTAAGGCTTATTAAGTCTGTTAGGGTGTTTTCTCTCTCTCTTGAATCTATTGGTAATATGAGATAAAATATTATATGAGAATATCAGTTATGTAACTATAAGCAAGGCATAAATCATGCTATCTCCTGCTTCATTTTCTAGACTGAAAGATAAAACAAGATTTTTAAAAGAATAATAGGAATACAGGACTGTATACAGTTTTAATTATCTCACCCCTGACAGTATACGCAGAAAATATTTCTTTCACGTGCCGCTTTGGTCTAAGATATTCAAAAGGTTGGAAATAAAAAAAAAGTAAAACTACATAAATAAAACTACATCACTCATGTAACACACGCTTTACCTTCAAAGAATTGTAGAGACAAGATTTCTATTTGTTACAATAAAAGTTACTTTCAGAGGAGATTGTTAACTGCATTGTCATTTACTTATGTCAAACTTATGCTGAATCTTTCAACAAATAATTTCAAGAAAATTATTGGTTAATGTAGCTATTTAAGTGAAACATTTTTACCTGTTATTTTAATTAAAAAAGCCCCATAAAGCAAGCATCTCTTTTCACTGTAAAGTTTGTATTTATGCTGGTGGAAGAGGGAGATGTTTTCTCTCTTTTCAAAAGTTTTATGGCTGCAGTTTACCTTGAGCATATTTCAAAGCTGCTCTTAGTGCCTTTCCTTCCTACAAAACTAATTGATCCACTGTGAAAACATTCCTGATGCTCAAATACAGTCCAGGGGCATTTGCAAATCAGGCACAGGACCTCATGTCAGAGCTGCTGTTTGATCCACTAGCTCCTGAGATAGGGAGAGCTTCTCTGTACAATGCACCACTGCTTTTATTGTACAGAAAAAAAAATATTTTGTTTCTGTTCAAATTACTGTAACAGGCAAAACTAGCATCAGTGTTTCAGAGTTTATATCACAGCTATAATAACAGATTGTCCAATAAACAGAAAGATAACTTAACAGAAAGCGTGCATCCAAAATGTAGAAAACAAAACCACAAAAAGAATGTATCTGGGAAGCATAATATATTACTACTTATACTTGGAGGAGCAAATACAGCATCTTCTGCCAAGCAGAAATAAAGCAGTTTCTTTCTTCTGCAAGCATTAGCTCAGTGTCTTCTGGACAGATAGGCTTTTATCCATATCTCCATCTTCACAACTCACTTTCTAAAGTGTTTGGATGCCCTGAGCAGGTCTAAAGGGAGGGAAATGTAAAGAGCAGTTATCATCAGCATATGGTGGAAACAACAGTCCTTAGCTCCATGGTCACCTTCCTAGAGGCACTGCCTGTACAGGAGCACAAAGGGTGACCAGCAGGGCTCCATAGGAAGTGTTCACATCAGAATCTATACAGACTAGAGGGACAGAGCTGCTCAGATAGACCCTGCTACCACTTGTGGCTGGACCAAAAGAAGTCAAAGAATTCATTTTTCATCCTGATTAAAAGGAGATCAATAGATGACAATGTCCTGGGCAACATCTAGAATTAATGTTGTACCAACAGAAATTTAAGTGTTTCAGTTTCTAAGTGGAAGAGATTTCCACCCAGTCTCCCCACCAAACACTCCAAAACCAAGTGATTTGAGATAAGATGAGGTGAGGACTGAATGATTGGCAGTGATTGTGCCCCTTCTCAAGTCACCAGGTTCCAAGACTTTCTAATGGCTTCACATCTTTCAAGAGATCTTAATCATGCAATGATTGCAGTGTTTGAATCAGTTTATTCTAGTCCCAACATGACACATCCCAATTTACATACTATTTTGTGTTTCCAGCTCCATCATTAATGTTTAATGCCTCAGTTCAGCCATCAATCCCCACTCACCAAAACCATTCAGCTAAGTACATGTTTAAATGAAAGCGCATTCATAAATGCTTTGCTGAAATGAAGCAGTCTTACACACATGCTGACAAGCTTTGCTGAACTGGATTTTCATCTGCAAAAGAGTTCACATGCCATAGGCACTTAGGAGAGGAGCCTTCTTCTTCCTCATGTGCATTCATGTCAAAGAGTGTGGCTTGTGAAGGACAGTTTCCTATAATGTCAAAGCATTATATTCAAGGAGAAGGTGGTTGCAATCCTGTTTTGGTTTTGCTGCTGCTTCAAACGTTGTGACACAACCGGATATAGCCTTTTGTATTTTTTTAATTCTTTCAAGTGATATATTTTAAACTAAAGTTTGAAAGATAACTAGGACTCTGAACATCTCTGCTCACAGCAAGCTGTGAGGTAATGCCTGGTCATTGGCATTATTCAGATCTTGAAGAAAGGAAAAAGATAAACCTTTGCACATATGCAATTTTGTCCCTGGTAGGTCAACTAGTAGAGACAAAAAAAACCCAAACAAAAGCCAAACCAACAAAATGTACTGGTTCATTTCCCAAATAGGGATGTTCACCTTGGTCCACCAGGACTCTTAAACTAACACTGACCCAATTCTTTTAACTTTTCATATTGAAAATATAATGGTATGATTCTCCAGGACCTTGGTTTGGTGGTGTCAGGGAAAGATTTGTTTTTTGATTTGACTTTTCAACCTCTTTTACCCATTGCTTTCTACATGAGAATAAATGAAATAAATTCCACAGAGTTCTTTTCAACTCTAGAGGAACATACTATTTACTACAGTCACATATTTTCATTGCTGTTGGTAGTGGAAGCTGTAGTGGATTCACTTGCCTTCATGACTGTTTCATACATACTTTAGCTTAAGCATTAAAAATCTTATAAAGCACTTATTTTAAAAAACTGTAAATATCTGAGAGACATCAGCACTTACCTTTACAGAACAGCTGTCAGCAGCAAAAGCTCTTACATGATCTGTTTACCTCACAAGCCATCCAACTCTCACAAGGTATCCAAATCCTCTCTTGAATGGGGGGCTGAGCAGAGGCAGTAATCTGAAGAGGCAATTTTGTGCTAAAGACACTCCTTACAATGTTTTGGAGATGTTTGTTACCTCAGAGTTTGGTTTAAATTCGTGCTAGTTATGGATAAAAGTCAGAGGAAGGGAGCTTCTTTAGCGCCTCTTTAATCAGTTCAACCATACTTCTAATTTTAGGTCCAACTTTTTTCGGTCAAAGTGCATGTTCATTAAATACTCTTTAATTTTGCACAAGGAGTATGTCCGTGACAGCAATAAAGAGCTTTGCAACTTTCAACTTATGCAAGAATAAAGACTTTCTACAGCTTGACCTAATGTACATCCACCCAGCCCAATCTGACTGGATTAAATTGAAGAAGCAGATTTCAGGTTTTCAGTCAAATTCCACTAGCAGTCTGGCATTTCAAGTCAGAATCTCCCTTCCATCCCTGCCCTCTTCCCTCCCCATCCCCCTCAAAAAAGCAAGTGTTAGAATTATCTGAAAGGTTAAAGAGTCATTTTCTGAAAAAATGGGAAGAGCCTAATCAAATAAAAGTAGTGTCAAGATTTGAACAGTACACAGATCTATCCATCTCATTATCTGGAAATGGGGCAAGAGAAGTTCTGTGACCTTATTTATATCTCTCAAGTCATCGACAGTAACTGGACAGGTTTTTTGTGCATCTTTTGCTTCCTCTCATCAAGACCTTTCTGAGTATTAGGTGTAGTCCAGGGAATTTCTGATCTGTGTGACTTCCTTTGTTTTAATCTGTTACCACAGAAATAGTCCATTTATCATTTTTCAGTTTTAGATAAGTTGTAAATGTTTTTTGGGTCTTTTCCTGCTCAGGCATCAGGCCTAGGGAGCTTCTCTAACTTTGTAGAGTTTCAGATAGTCCCCAAAAGTCAGTTGTTGGTCATGACCCCTGAGAACTATGACCAGGACTCAGAAGCACATGCAAACATATAAGCAATCCAGTTGTTGGAAACTGGAGCTGAGTTTTCCTGTTCCTCAGGTGGATTAAGAGGAGGAGACTGCTCTCAGTGCAGTATGGACAGGCACACCTGAATTGGACATGAGTGTGTCAGGCAGTATCTACTGCAAGCCCTAGCACAGAAGCTCTGTGAGTACTTGGATGACAACACCACACAAGTCTTACAGTTGCTGCAATATCACTGCTGCCCATTCTTACAATAGCTAGTTGAACCTGAGAAAGCTTTCACTTTACAGCATTTGCAGGAGTATCTGCTGTGTAAGTTAAATGTCCCACAGAGGGGATCAGTAGACCGTGGACATAAAAAAACAAGAACTGCATCTCCTGAGGGAAGCTTACACAATCGGTTATTAAGTACAATTATTGGTGACAGATTGTATTGGTTACAGTGCCTATACTAACCTGTGCTTTGGGCAGAAATAATTTTAAAGGCTTTGGTTCAGGGGCCCTTGAGTGAACAGCATCTTCCCATATGGTTTTCAACACAGCATGAGGCTTCACAGATTAAGAGCAACATGTATTATACATGATATCTGTGTGCACTGCTCCTCAAAAGCAAGCTACTTTGAGGCACTAGAAAACCAGCAATTTTCTTCCCTAAATTCCCTTTCCTGGTGTTGTGACCCCAAGTCTGTGTCCATCCCCTCCTTCCCGCTTTAATACTGCTGCCTACTGACGTGTTGGCTTTGGTCATCTTGTCATTACAAAGCAAGCAAGCCAGTCTGCCTCATATGTGGGCTTTCAGGAAGTTAATTAACAGGAGGGAGCCGTGGGAGTTTCTGAGAAGCTGAGCTCTGATGTAACCCAAAGCCATCCACTAGTAAGCTTTTAGATGCTCCAGCCATAAATAATTTATGTTCATCAGTCACATGGCAGCAAAGCTCATTTTGCATAGTGGATACTTGCAATGGAAAAGTGCTTACAGGGTTTCAGCAGAGCAGACAGACCTTTCATCTATCTGCATCAAAGAGAAATTAAACTATTTTCTTCAGAGGGACCTGGACAAGCTGGAGAGATGGTCTGATTCCAACGGGATGAGGTGCAACAAGGCCAGGTGCCGGGTCCTGCACTGTGGCCACAACAACCCCATGCAGTGCTACAGGCTGGGCACAGAGTGACAGGAGAGCAGCCAGGCAGAAAGGGACCTGGGAATTTGGATACACAGGAAGCTGAACATGAGCCAGCAGTGTGCCCAGGTGGCCAAGAAGGCCAAGGGCATCCTGGTCTATATCAGGAACAATGGGGCCAACAGGTCCAGGGAAGTGATTCTTCCCCTGTACTCAGCACTGGTGAGGCCACACCTGGAGTACTGTGTCCAGTTCTGGGCCCCTCAGTTCAGGAAGGATATTGAGGTGCTGGAGCAGGTCCAGAGAAGAGCAGCGAGGCTGGTCAAGGGACTTTAGCACAAGTCCTATGAGGAGAGGCTGAGGGAGCTGGGGTTGTTTAGCCTGGAGAAAAGGAGGCTCAGAGGAGACCTCATCACTCTCTACAACTCCCTGAAAGAAGGTTGTAGCCAGATGGGTGTTGGTCTTTTCTCCCAGGCAACCAGCAGTAGGACAAGGGGGCACGGTCTCAAGCTCTGCCAGGGGAGGTTTAGGTTGGATATTAGGAATAAATTTTTACAGTAATCAGACATTGGAATGGGTTGCCTAAGGAGGTGATGGATTCATGGTCCCTGGAGGTTTTTAAGGTGAGACTGGATGTGGCACTTAGTGCCATGATCTAGTAGCCACAGTGGTGTTGGATCCAAGGGTTGGACTTGGTGATCTCGGAGGTCTTTTCCAACCCATTTGATTCTATGATTCTATGAATTATGGGAGGTTATGGTATTCTTGTTAAAAACTCTGAAACTAACATTTTAAAGGCATGCAAAACCTGTAAGATGGCACTTGTGATCACAGAATCATGGAATCACAGAATGGCTGGAGTTGGGAGGGATCCTAAAGATCACGTAGTTCCAACACCCCTGACATGGGCAGGGCCACGAGCCCCATCCAACAATGGGGCATCCGTTGGCACCTTCCATGGATAGGGCATCCACAACTTCTCTGTGCAACCTGTTTCAGTGCTTTGCCACCCTCATAGTAAAGAAAGGAAAAATATTTTTTCCTAACACGTAGTCTAAACCTACTCTCAGTTTGAAGCCATTCCCCCTTCTCCTGTCACTACGTGATATTCAGATGTAGAGCCGCACAACCGGCCGTTCTCACTTCCTTCCGATTTGCATATAATTCCTTTTCTCACCTGCAGTTCCTGTGAAATTCCCATCTGGGGGCAAAGGGGCGGGTGCCAGGAATGCGGGTGAATGCCGGGGATGCTGGCGGTGGCACCGAGGGCAGCCCTGCCCGGGGGATGCGCGGAGCTCCCGTGCTGCCGGCGGGGCGGGCGCGGGGCGGGCGCGGGTTGGCGCGGGCCGGGCGTTACCGCCGTCCGTTACCCGCCGGCCCCCGCCGGCCCCGCACCCATGGCCGACACCCCGCCACAGCCCCGCCCCGGAGCCCGCCGAGATGGCACTGCGGCCCCACTTCCCTCACGTACCTGCCCGGTCCTCCCAGTGGTGGGTGTTGTCCCCTTGCCCCGCTCCCGGGGGCGGGCCGTGGCTGGGATGGAGTGGGCAGGTGGCGCGACTGGGCTCTCCCCTCACCGGGGGTCTCGCAGGACCCACCGGGTGGGCTTGCCACGGGGAGCGCAGGAGTCCTGCCTTTAGCGTTTCTCGCGGTTCCGTGGGGCAAGAGCCTGGTTTGCTGCAAAGACCCGTCATCACTGTGGTGCATAAACGATGCCGAGAAAGCAAGGAAACTTCCCTGAAAGTCCCATCTGCCACAAGCCTTTCTGATATAAAGGTGGTTTGACACGGGGGAAACGGGATTTTGTGTCAGCCTGACCACTGGCCGGGACCTGGCCCCGGGGCTGCCACCCACTTGGTGTGATGCTGCAGGGCAGCTGGCAAGAGGTCTCCCTGGCTGGACCACTCTTGACTGGTGGGCTCTTACAGCGTGCCACGAGTGATTGCAAGGCTGCACAGCTGGTGGGACACTGGCACTCACTCAGTGTGATGCTGAGCATTAGACATTCTCCAAGGTTATGCTTTCTTGAGATGAAGGTAATGGTTGAACACCTTAATGAGACACTTTCTGTGGTGGAGTAAGGTTGTCATCATCATTTTCTTGTGCTTTGAGAAGAGCATCACCTGCCATGTGATGGCCAGAGAGAAACCAGGGATACTTTCCTACTTTCCCCAGTCACAGATGAGTCCAGCTAGTAGTGTTGAAGCTTTGTGTGAAACAGTAATAACAAATACAAACAAACTTTTAACTTGTCAGCAAGTAATCCTAAAACATGTTATTCTCCCTCTCAGTAATACCTGAGCAGTGGGAGCTCATCTGTGTTTTTACTGTGATATAGATGCCAGTATTCCTATTTTAAAAGGACAGAAGGAAGAGATTCATCCAAGGTCATTCATCCAACAGGTTTGAGACACAGCATAAAATTGAATCATAAACAATCCTTGAAATGATGAACTGATGATTTTTTTTTCATCATGACAACCTTCTGAATCCCCTTTTCATGTTTTGAAAAATTTTAAATGCTCAGCTTCATTTTACAGTTGGTGCATTGTCAACAGCAAACTAGATTTTGGTCCAGAAATGATTTAACAGCAGACTTGCCAACCTATATAATGGCCTGGCTGCCAAGGGTTCGAATAGAACAGGTGGCAAACCCCAAAAACCTGGAGTCCATGTGAGGTCCTAAAATCAGTCAGATAATAAATCACACACAAAGTGTGGATAGATAGTAGATAAATGGAGGAGGTCTTTTGCTGTGTACTTTTTGTTTAACCTCAGTCTTTCTCCCTTACCACTTTTTTCTTTTGATTTTTTTTTTGTCTCTATTAGCAGTTTTGGTTTGATGATGCCATAAAAACTCAAGTTTTGAAAACCTCAGGGCTAATAGGCAAGAAGATGAGCACGGTGCTCTCTTCTGTATGGATTTTTTTTCCTAATATACAGTATTCTTGTATTATGTGTCAGCACTAAGAACATGTTTAACTTAGTATTTGGAAAAGACTGGCAATTTAATAGATGATAAATTCACAAAAGGAAATTCCAAAATATTTTGTTGCTAAGTAGTTAAATGCTGAAGAAAAACTATTGGCAGAAACCAGCTACTGAAGCACGAATTAATTTATGACGCCCTTCCAGTGACTCTTTTGGTGTTATATTAAGGATGAATTTGGACTAAGCTTTAATCTCCCATGGGACTGCTTAACTGTGAAGGGTTTTAGATGGTTGCTTTAGAAGAAACAACATTTCTGCCTGCTGGGAGGCAGGGCTCAGTCAGGACTCTTATCTAGAATAAATTTCATTTACCTTTGAGCCTGATGATGGGAAATACCCCAGTAACACAGCAGATCCCCTATCTTTGGATGCAGGTTCCTGCTCAGGTCTATTGGTGAAACCTTTTCTGTTGGGTGGTGGGGCTGGAGGTGGTTGGGAGCTGGCAGGGAGCCCAGTGCAGCTCAGCCCTGGTGCTTAACAGTACCAGGCTCCTGGGTTGGTGGGTGAGAAGGTGGTTTCCAAGGAGGTATAAGTGAGGCATTTGGGGATCTTTTGCTGGGGAGAAGAAAGTCTAGGGGAGAAAGAAAGCCTTCTTCAGTGGAAGAAGGGCAGGAGACATGAATAAAAGGTGAGGCAGACATTGTCAGGCAGCACAGTGACCATCTTCTTGCTCAGGCCAGTTTGCTGAAGACCTTATCTGCTATCTACTGCCAATACAGCTAGTTCAGAAAGATAAACACTGGGTTGTCTGAAGTCAGGCTACTGATAAAACAGAGGATGCTGATTTAAAATCCAACTGGCTTATCTCACCCAGTGAATATGAAAAGTCTTCTTTCCCAACCAACTGGATTATCAGTAAAGACACAGTGAGTAACTGGCACTGTGCTGCACTAGCATTCAGCTGATAAATTAATTAAATATGCATAAATCATTTGGTAGAATGGAAGCACAGTTAGAGTAAGAAACCACTGTCATACGAGCAATGTGTTATGCTTTGAAAATTAATCTCTCTGCTCCTTTCAGCTTTGCTCCTGTATTTGTACTGCAGACTATTATCTTCTGACATCAAAACCATTGGCATTATCTCATAATTAAAAGTCATTTTTTTCCCAGTGAAGGTAATACCTTAGGTTAATAAGTAACCAAGTTTACGTCTTTCTCACCTTATTTACACAAGTAGTTGCATTTACTTGACTATGGCCATTCTGATAAGTAAGATGAGTCAGGGCTTTGGCTAAAGGATGAGTATTTAAACATCTAAACCTGTTTCAGTCCTGACAGTTCTGTTACATAGTAACTGTAAATTAAAATTCTGTTCTCTTAATAAACTTGTCCTAAAATCAGTGAGGTTGTATGAAAACAGAATTTTGTCCTTTACAGTTTGTGTACTCTCTATTTCAAATCACCATATTGCACATTTCAGGTGGAAAAATTCTCCTATTATTGTCTTTGGTATAGTGGAGACCTTTCTGTTTAGAAGACCAAAGTCAGATCTTTAGATATGCATATGAGAAATGTTAATACTGGCTGTACTGGTGTTAATGTTATAATATTACAAAGTTATATTTTTTAGTTAAAAAATTATGAGAACAAGTTAATTTCATAGCAGAGTCTCACGTGACCTCTCTTATACCTTGGAAACAAGGAAAATAGAACTTGAAAATCTAACAACTCTTTCTTCTAATTCTGATACAAGCCAATTGATGTTTTTGTTTTAAAGGCTAGCTGATAATTTCTACTTGTGTGGAGGATGCACTGTACCCTGTCGGCTACTACATGAACTGTATATTGAAACCTGCAATCCAGATTTCAAGATTCAAGTACATCCATCCACCTTTGGAAAGGTACAGCGTAGACAGGAGACATAAGATAAGCAGGGATGCCTAAACAGAAAATTTGATCATCAAATATACACACTGCATATCAAATGAGATTAAGTAACAGAGAAGAATGAATATGTAACGTATTATGCTTGTGTGTTTTCTAATGTATTTCTGGTAAGCCCTCGTGTAGATGCAGTTATACTAGAGAAATGAGGGTTGTCTGTGATGGAGTTTATTTTCTTTGGGGAACTGGTATATGTTACACTAGCAAAGACTTCTTTTGCCAATGTATTTTAGAAAGTTTTACCAGCTTTCTACTTTTAACAGAAGGTTAAACAACTCATCCTAAGGAGTTGATTCTTCTGTCTTTAAAAGACACCTTCCATTGTTACATCATTTTATACTTCTCCCTAAATTATACTTGCGGAGATTTTCCTCCAAACATACCCTAAAAAGTTGTCACAGATACATCCAAGCAAAACAAATGCAGAGTAAAACTGAATTTCCTTCTAACAGTGCCACTCTTCTACTATATGGAGGTTGATGCAACCCACAGAGCAATTACCAGTGAGAAATCTCAGTTGCAACAAACACCTGTAGCTATTCAACAATTTTTATCTAAGTAAGGAAGATAGAAAACCTTGTGATTATTTATTGCTCAAGGCTTTTTGCTCAGTACTTTCTTTTTAGCTGATAATATTCTATTAGTTCCCACACTAAGAGCTACTAAGCACTGTTTTAATACAAACCCAAAATAATATAAGCACAAGTTATAACTGAAATCAATTTCATTTATGTGGATAACATCATTTTAGGAATCATTTATCTCAATTCAGTTGAATCTAATTTTTTTACTGGATAAATTAAATCACTTTTACTGAAAATTAAGATTTGAGTGAGTGATCCAGTGTGATTTATTACCATAGCTGAATGGATCATCAGCTAAGACCATGGGTAGAATTTGCCTGGCTCATTGTAGACATCTGCCATGAAGCTGGTCATCTTAAAAATCTCTTGGTAGCCAATGGAGAGAAAAAAGTAGTTACATGTGATGGGAACAGTTCCAGGCGTGGAGAAAAACATACAGCAATTGACAGGATTTTATTATATGGACCTTACAGTTATTATAGGGCCTTTACTGTGGTTTCATTGTATTCACACTACACAGTGCACAGCCTGGACATGCCCAGGCTTGCCACGAGTTTGCCTGCTCCCTGCTTCCCTCACTTCTCCCCCTTTTGCCCGTGTCCCTATCCTGATTTGTCCCCCCGCTTGTCTGTCTCATGCTCCGCCCTACGTTCTGGCCCTTTTCCCTCCCGAGCTGATAAAAGACTGCGTACACGCGTGAATAAGGGATTCGACTTGGCGTGAATAAGGGATTCGACTTGCACCCT